TGAACCCCAAATGAAGGTTTAAAACCCGAAATCGATACACCCTTTACGATTTTGAAACCTAACCCTAAACCCCCAAATCAATTTCAAACCGTAACTCGAGATCCCCAAATTGATTTCTAATCTCCGATAAAGGAACCCTAAATCCAACCCAGAATACACATTAAAACCGTAAATCGAATACCCCTCTAAGATTTACAAGCGTAAAAGACGAAACCCCCAAATCCCTTTCGATCTCCCGAGATCGTTTTTCACCAATAACTCGACTCTATGAACGATAGATTCGTAGATACTCACCAGAACTCGTAGAGGTGCCACTCCGTCGTCGATTTTGATAAGAAATGCTCCGAATCGCGATGAAATGAAATCGCCCGAGAGAGAATCAAACCCTAGAGAGAAAGAAAAAACACAGATCTATCGCGAAGAGAGAGAGTCGGATTTACTCAACCACGAAAAAGCGGTCCAATGGGGAGCTGACACGTCGCATGAACCCGTATCATACAGGTTCACTCTGGTGAACCGGTTCGTCGAGTTTTTCATTTTTTTTTAAAAAAATGGACCTCTGGCCCTAGGATTTCGAGCCCACGAACCCGGTAAAAACCGCTGATGGGCATGCTCTTAGAGGTAGAATATCTATCATAAGAGGAAAAAAATCTTAATAGCAAACGCTCTATAACAAATATGATCTATCCTTTCCACATAAATAGAAAATCTATTATAAAAGAAAAACGAGACTGCAACATCTTGATGTTTCGCACCAACAGAGAAGTACTTAAAGGTAGCTTCAAGTGGCATCCTCTTTGTCTCTAGTTACCTTGAAGTACACTGAAATCCATGCCACTATACAAACAAATGCATAAATCCCAAAGACTCTGCAAGTCATAGAGATTTGAGCATAAAATGAAGATAGTAAGTGACAATAATGTCACATATCCAGTAAGTGAGTTCACATATGTTGATATCTACACACAGAGGTAAGGAAACTTTTGATACCATTGTGTTTGATGTGCCTCTAAGCTTCATGAAGCTTCTTATCACCAGTTTTATCAGTGTCAATATTAGAATGGTGATTGTTAAAAGTATCAGAGACCTGCAATCACACATTGACACTGTTATATTAACAATCATGTGGAAAAAAAATACAACAAAGAGGCCAACTCCAAGTTTCAAAGCATTCTTCACACATGATTTGTTGATCATATAATAAATAGGAATATGATAGATTCAAAATTGCTTAACAAAAAGCAAAATTCACGATTTTGTCTTCCTCCTTAAATCAAAATTATCTGTGAATGAAGTTTTCTAAATTCTTTCTTTGTAACTTCAGTTCTGCTCTCTCTGTTTGATTCAAACAATAAAACATGATCAAATGTATCATCCAAAGAACAACAACATAAAATCCCTAAATCTTAATTCGAAATCCCTAAGTAAAATTGTGTTTCTTTTGGTAAACCATTGATGAAAACCATTTAAACTTACCGATTCACAATTCGTTTCGTTGATAACGAGAATCACAATTTCTTTCGTCGCTCGAGATGACTTCATTAGTTCGTCGGAGAAGGAGAAAACAAAGAGAGAGATGAGCGTCTCTGTCGAGAAAAGGAGAAGACACAAAAGAGAAAGATGAGTTTTTTTTGTTAATTGTGTTATTAATTAGGGGTATTAGAGTCTTTTGAACAGTTAATGAATGTTAGTTTTCTAACTTTTTTTTTCTGGTGTCATTTTTGAGACAAAAATTTCAAAGGTGTTATTTTGGATAATTGTCCTAAATCTTATAAACCAAAATATGGGGGAAATTTTGATTTATGTTAAAAAGATTTTTTAAATTTTTTCTCTATAAGTTTATTTAAATATATATTCAATTATTTATGCAGTTGTAGATACTCGTAGGATTGTTATATATCTTTTTGTACTTTAATCAATATTATATTTTATAATATTTTGTGGCTAAAATATAATAAATCATAGTTCTAAATATTTTATTATTTCAGTTTTAATACAGTATATTAAAATTAGAGAATGTCTCTATGATAGACCTAAATTATTTTATTACAAATATAGACCTTGAAAATAAAAATGACCAAAATAAATTTAAATGTTTTATCAAAAATAAGTAAATATACACTTATAATTTTTGGGTTATTAATCCAATACATTTTTAAAAAAACATTGGGGAGTGCGGGTTTTGTGATATGATTTCAAAGTTTTAAAAATAACAAAAATTTAAAATTTTGAAAATAAAAAATGTTATTTTTGTCATTTTAATTTTTAAAGTCAGCTTTTTTGATAAAAATATAAAAAAATCTATTTAAGAGATTTGACCTAAATTCTATACTATTATTTAAGAAGTAAATTTGCTTAGTTGTCATGTTCTCCATAATGTAGATAGTTTTTCTTATTTTCATACTTTTATATTTTTCTACTAAAAGATTAATTATTACTTTTATTTAATAATTAGATTTATTAATATATATCTAACTATGATTAAAACGAATTAATATATAATTAAAGTTAATTAAAAATAAAAGATGATTATCATTATCTAAAAAATAGTTTATTGATTAGCGATATACTAAAAAATAATATCTATATATAAATATAAATATATATATATATATATATATTATTTAAGAGGAAAATTTTCTTAATTGTTATGTTCTCCATAATTGTATATAGTTTTGCTTGTTTGTCATATTTTTATATTTTAACTAGTGATTAATTATTACTCTTAATTAATAATTAGATTTATTAACATATAACTAACTATAAATTAAAACGAATTAATATAAATTAACCTTTATTAAAAATAAAGTTCATTAACTTAGATGATTATCATTATCTAAAAAATAGTTTATTGATTAGCGATAAACTAAAAACGAATTAATATATAATTAGCCATTAATTAACATATTTTCACTGATTTTATAATTATCATTATCTAAAATAATTGATATTATGTTATCTGTTAATATATAATTAACCATAAATTGAAAATTCATTGATTTGATAATCATCCTTCGATAAAAAATATTTTTTTTAATGTTTTAAATTTATAAAAGATAAATATCTACATATATTGTATATAATATTAATGCATGTATTAAGTTTTTCAAATTTATTTTATGCAATAAAGGATAATTTATTATATTGACAAATTTGGTCATATGTAAAAAATGAATATTTAATTTATTACTAAATATTTCAAAAGCATTAGTATTTTTAGTTTATGTTACGTGATAAAAAATATTTATTTTAGGATAAAAAACTTTTATATAAAGAATTTATTGTTTAATTTTTATTAATATTTTAAATATATAAACATTAATTTATTTTAATTTTATTTCAATTGATAGTGTATTCACTTTAAAGTATTTGTAAAAGTAATTATGCCCGCACGTGCGGCCAAAACACCTAGTTATTATAAAATACTAGTTGCATATTCCCCGCGCAAGCGCGGGGCCGGGATCATTATGTTTGCGTGTATTTTTTTCGATTGTTGGTTTAGTGGATTCTTCTAATGACACTAATTAATAATGAAATGGAAAATTTCATGTTTTTATATATATAATTCTATATTTATAGTATTTATATTTGTATTAAACGATTTATCAATATGAAAATAACCTTAATTAAGTTAATATTCGTTGTTTAAGTTTCATTAGATAGGTTTTTATATATGGTTTTTTGTAAGTTTCGGTTTTGTTCATAAATGATGTGGCATTTTTATCTACGGAGTCATCGACTGTGGGAATTCATTCGCC